AACATTTTCATATGCCGGCACAACTTTTAGGTCTTCTAGATACTTCATGATTATGTATCCTTTCAATGGATTCCCTTCCGTAAACATCTTTGCGCAGTAGATCTGAAAAAATAAGGTTCAATGCAAAAGAATCACTTCGGATCGAGACCCGACAATTTTCTATATGCTTCCAGCCGTTATCAGTCTTTTTTCGATACGGGAGTCTATAGAACTTTCTAAAAAGTTGAAAAATTAGGCTGCGAAGAATCAGACTCCCATTCACACAAACAGATATTTTATAAAAATTTTCACATTGGCGTACTAGGAAAAATGAATATTATAGAACAAGGCCACTGGATGATACGGGTGACGACGGCTTTTGGAAACTGGTATGCCACTTAGGTTATTAGTGTTGGAAATAGAACTCATTGAATGAAGATGCAATCAACTAACCTTTGGTATACGCTTCTTTTTCTTGGGTAGCTTCATGAGATGACTGTAGGTTTTTACTTCGGCATTGTGACACTGAAATACTTCAAGATTTGAGAAGGAAAGAGCAATAAATCAACTTGATGCCATTTTGGGTACGCCACACACTTGACCTCTAATCAGAGTCATGGAAGCTTGGAGATTAATTTGTTTACACAGGAGCATGGAAAGTCATCTGGAAGAGAATTAGAACTGGCCTGACATGAAATGTTTAATCTAAAGAGTTACAAGGTGTAACCCAGAGACAGGTCACTCCACTAAACAGGATCATAGCTCGGAAAGAGATTCGCTCGATGAAGATCTGCCCTAAGTCTCTGCTAGGAATCAGATTCACAATGGGAGTCAAGTTGTACAAACTGGCGAAAAAAAGAGCTCACGATTTTCAGCATCTTTTCCAAATCAACCATCAGTTGTGGAATATTTACGTTATTCTGGATGGTGAACTTTTTACACATCTCAGAATACATTTTCTGCATAGCGAGGGGAGTGATAATCTGGAATAAGAAAGCTGTACTGTCGAAAAGATAAGAACATCTCCTCTTTCAAAGGGAGTCATCGGGTTGGTGGATCTTCAGATTAACAAACAGTTTAACTTATTGCTGTCATTGTGGTTCAATGTCTGTGCAGTCTTCCTCCCGAGGTACACCTCCCTACATTTGTCGCTCCTACATACCGCACCTTCAAGTGCATCAACAATAAACAACAGAAAAAAT